CATATACCGTACAAAAGTTAGTGTTGGCTACGAGGCAACTTCTGAATATTTAAGAAGTATTCACAGATCAGATAGTGCTAAGCATTTTTTAGTCCTAGAGTATCAAAAAATACTATACTGCAGAACAGAGAAGAGTGAAGGTGTATTTATGTTCCATATAAATTTAAGGTACATGACTGCGTGAATACCCAGCAACATCGTTGTCAACCGCATATACTTAATAATTATCATGATCTGGTACCACGTTGTCGGCGGGCAGACCATTTCTCATGCAAATTAACTGTTACTGAGGTAAGCGGTAATTTTATAACCTATTCCCATTTGAAGCCTGTAACAAGTAGCGTAAGTGTCTTGACTACGTCTAACCCACGTGATCGTCGATACTTAAAAATGAGCGCAGCTTTCAGAAGAAACATATGCGCCACCTCGCGTGACTAGAGTCAGTCGTTTCACTGAAGAAGTCAACGAACTTACGAGACGGACGAGTCAGACGGTCAGTGAGGAATTCAAAAATCTGCAGAGACTCCACGAAGACAACGTGAAAGAAGAAAAGAAATTCGGCTTTGAGCGTTGTTGTTGTGCGAAGAACTTCAAAAAGCTCAGTTTGAGCCAAAATTACCAGCAACTGTTGAAGTGATGCAGCCCAAGCGAGGTTTAACATCTTAATTCATAGTCGGAATTTCTAAATTCCGGCCGCCAACGCCAGTTAAGTTTCGAGAGTTCCGAACAGCGGACTATGCAAATTTGGTAGAAATTAAAAAAATAACCGGTTCGATAACAAATGAGGTTTCAGCAGAGGCAAAGTTAGAAGAACTGGCAGCAGTAAAACGCAGTCATATCGATCTGGTCGCTCTGACAGGCAAATTTTAATAAATGGCCAACAATGAGAGCGAGGAATGATTAGATGATCGGTCACGACAGAAAAATGGCGGCTATTCGTTAAGTCTGAAGGTTTACAACTGTCAAAAACTAACTGACTGCTTAATACTCTCAATAGAACCTACTGCTGCTGGTGAGCTACATCGTCACGAGGTTCAGACGGTCGAACTACAGATTGACCGTGAAAGCTTAGAAACCAAGAGCCGGGTTGTTTAATGAACAACGCGTCGGACTAAGAACGAAGAAGTCCGAGGTTCAAACAGCAGTCGAGTCATTCGCCTTCCCTCCGACATAGATATGCAAGTACTACCCTCTGAAAAGAAAACAGAAGGACACTACAAGATGCTTGCTGCACAGCAGATTCCTAAATTTTGCTTTAAGAAATAAGGCACTTCATGCTGACGGCATACAAACTGAGATCAGCAACGAAACATAAGCACCAGGAAGTGAAAGGCAAATTTGTAATCACTGGAATGTTGGCATTCCTTCGCTTTCATTATAGGGCCATTTTGGCGCTCTTCATTTTGATGAAGTTGATGACGCGGTGTTGATCTTTGTTTCTGTGCCACCAGCCATAAGTAACTTTCACTAATTTAAAATATTATTTTGAATTACCCACTTATTTGAATACTAAATTAGCTAGATTCACTAACCTTAAACCAGCTGTAGCGCGACGTTAGTACAACTCTCCCTTACAATCTTTCCTTGTGAATCTTAGGAAAGACATATGCGATATTGCCTGCCTGACAGAAGCGTTAGTAGTCTTCTGGTACAGTCTTTTACGTCATGTACCATTGCTAAGTTGTGAATCCGTGTCGAATTCCGACGGCATGCAGGCAAACAGCGTTCGGGAATTATGACCGATTCCGGAGCTTGCTACACATAGTGAAATCCATGGGTCAATCGGTTAGTCAAATCAATGTCATAAACGCCTAAGGTTATGCACAATAAATTTTGGCCAATGACGTTAAAGTGGGTCATAGAGGGCGCTTGTATTTCTGATTATTGTGAAATAGGAGTTGGACGGTGTCATCAATTACCTGAAGAGTCAGTTCGCCCTCTTCATTTTTTCATACGACTTTCAGGGAACAATCACAGTAAGAGATTTAAACTGAAAAATCAATTGAAGACGAGGTCACTTGCGAAATTGTTATATCGTTTGGTGATGCCACCGCTTAGTATGTGACCATAGACGATCGTTCGCACGCGCAATGAAAAGAGTAAATCACGGTCCGTCCCGAATCCATATCTTTCTCAATGGTGGCAATGTCCTCTTGACACTGAATCGGTATGAACTGCGCGAAAACATGCAAGTAATCAAAAAAGGGCTCACATTCGAGACTTCCAGGAAGGCAGTGAACACACGTCACTGTTGTAAAGTATTTAGCAAGCATTCAGCATAATAACTTTAAACAAATGCCGTCACAAGATCAAATGCCGGTGCAGCTTCACTTCTGCTTCTGTCTGCAGCTGCCTTATCAATGGATAAGTTTGCTGGTGCATGTATTAAGTACTCTTTGATTTTTTTAATACCACCGAAATAGCATTTTGGAAGACGTTGACGGAATGCTGTTAAAGCGTAATATTTACGACGTGGTTCTGCTTCGATTCTTCATGAAGAACGATACCAAAGCTGTCTGAGGCAAATTCCAGCTTGTGATATAACGGAGATCGGTTAAGGCAGGCCTGGTTCAATTTCTCAATTCAAGTTTTCTTTATTTGCAACGGATCTGCCTGCGCAGCGGCACTTTTCCTTTTGACGTTTCTTTGGAAAATGACTGTTCGTTAACATATTCTGGATGTTAACCCTCGAGAGCAATTGCCGATATTTACCCAATTTTTATTCATCTCACATGATTCAGAGAAGTAGAGTATCCTGATCACAGAGAAATATTTATGACGGAGGCGGAAAATACCGCCATCTTTCCAATTCTCCCCACCTGCTTAATGTCACCCAGTGCTCAAACTTGATTAGGCTCAAGGTGACTTTAATAGTAGTATGAGTCTAAAACTCGACCAATCGTCTTTAAACCTTCAACTGACACATTCTTTAGTGCTGATAACACTGTTTTCAAGAAGTGTGCACGAAGGTAGCATATGACTGAAGTCAAGAACGCCAGAGGCGTAGGATATGCCAACCGCGCCATCACAGACTGCAGACTGCTAAAATTCTGCACAGTAACTTTAAGCCAATGATGCCTTACGATATACGCTGCGTGCCAGTCCTTGTGCATTGTAGGTCTGATGGTGGACACTGTTTGTATGCTTCGAACCATGGCTGGTCGTCAATCAATCTTTGTTGTCTTTTACGGTAGTATCACTACTGTTTCGGGGCAGTGAGGAACCTACCGCTTAAAGATCAAATACAACCCACTTGCCTACAAAAAGCTGCACAGTCAACACCGTAATGCGGTTGTGCTTCCATACATAAGAGGCATTTGTAGACCACTATGGAAACTTTGCCTGCCTAAACCCAATTCCCAACAACAACGGACCGCACAACTATATCGTATAAAATTGCTAATGACACGTCTGAATCACTGTTTGGGGCGCTTTCTCTAGGCATAAACCATTACAGTCGGCTACATGCCAAAAATCATCGTTGACACTTGATCAGACCAAGTGTCGTGTAACTCCACTGTTACATGAACAAAGTGATTCAAAATACGTTAGCAACAGCTCATCAACATAACGTTGCAGCTCAAATGATGCCTTCTTTGTTGTTCTACACAAAGTGGACTTTGCAGTGAAGTTACTTGATTCACTGGATGCGTTCAACCTCAGACTTTTATGTGCAACTTCAACTTCCTGTTGCTTTTCGTTGTCGATTTCTTCTCATCGACTGATACAGAATCGACAGGAATAATCTGTCAAAAACAAATACAACACTCACAACATCAAAAAATTCTTACACATTACGCGTACGATGATGGCATATAGAACCAGATCTCGAATCAGCCAGGAGTAATGTCTGAAGTAATGGCTGAAGCTTTGAAAATTTCAATTATCAACCGAAGTAAATGAAAGCGTCGAATTGTATCAAGTCATTATCATAAAAATAAAAGCACAGGTCTGCAACAGAGTTGAAGAACGGAAAGGCAGGTCGGTAAATATATTTATGGCTACGTTTCGGGTAGTGCATTTTTCAGAAAAATTCAGTGCACTCTGTTCTGAATTGCCATACTACGCTATGCAACTTCCACTCAACCACTTCACAAAAAAATGTTCAAAGCCGCCGGCAGGGATTTTATCACGTGAGAAATAGTCTGCTTTCCTCATTTAATGAACAGAACAGTAGTAAACCAACATAGCCTTGTACAAGGACCACGCGCAAATTCGTAGTGATGTAAATTTTTTTTATGTTAGACAACGGTATTCACTGGCGATTTTACTTAAGGGGTAAAACCGTCATTCAGAAAAAGATACAGGAAAAAAAGACAATTGCTTGCTTGCCTACCTTTTGGTCGGTATTTGAAGTAGAACCTGTCGCCAACGGGAGTTGGACTGTCCGGATCGTATGTGCCCGGAACCCATGTCACATTCAAATGATCGACGCCGATGCCAGCTTCGGCCAACGATGGTTCTGCAGGGGCAACTAAAAAAAAGAATTAAAAGATAATGATGACGAAAAGGAAACGACGGGTATAAATAAAATAACGATATAAAAAAGAAACCACCGCCAATCGTGGTAAATTGGCGAACCTTGGCCAGCATCAGTCGGAAAAAATAAATAGCATCCATTAACCAGGAGGCAAATGAGGATCGTCGAGCGAACCATACGGACGAATGCAGACGACATGAACAGACAAGGCGACCGGCGACGGGAGACGTAAAATGCCGCTGCCACTGAGTGCGCAAGAACCAGTATCGATGTCAGACAGAATGCGACGTAGCTGATGTGCGAACTCCTCCAATCGTTTGTTGCAGGAGGTGGAGTCGTCGTCTGCATGCCTGCCAGTTAATGATACT